TTGAGCCTGCTCTTCCCTACATAATTACGTCAAAATACAAGATACTATATACAAGATACGTTCACCAAGTATCGCCAAACGTTTTGCCCAGAGAGCAAATCGTACCCCAACACCTGGCCACCGCCGTAACCAGCTAACTGCTCATCCTCTGCCTGCCTGTTGCTGATTGGCTGGTGTCCCGTCGCACGTGCCCTCCGCCACCACCACAAGTCGACGTCTGGGCTGCAGTGCGCCAGTCTCGTCAGAATATCTCAGTGCTCCATGCAGTTGACATCTCTCGCTGGTAGACTAAGCCTTGGCTTTCGTGTACTAAGGGAGGTGGCAGCTCGAAGCCAGTATTCCAGCACTCATATGCTATCACTGTAACATGTCTTAGCGTAACTTTTCATTTGCCAGTGATTATTTATGTTATTTTGTTTGTTGACTTGTCCTGCATATTTTTATGAGATTGCCTTTATTCATGTCTTGTTTTCTAGAGTAATTAAAATTTCATTGTTTATATACTTGTGTTTTGTGTGTCTTCCCATTACCACAGACGAAAGGACCAACTTTTCTCTTTTTTTTTGTCATGTGACGAGGCCCTGCCCCTAGCTTTTGAAACAGCCGAACACCAACGCTTTACCGTCACAATAGAAAAACTATATATAAAGTGAGCAAGAGAGGAAAGCCAAGGATAATTATATTTAAACAACCCAGAAAAATATGTAGCCTCGCCAAAAATTAAATAGAAAATACTAAGATTAAGCTATTGTGCTGAAACTCATTCAGGCTTTTCTTGTGTCACTGTTGGATAGACTAAATCAGTTTATAGCAATTGTTGCAATAAATTGGAACCACTAAATATATTTATAAATACTAAACACTGTCTGAAAATATAATTCGTAATCGAAAAACGAGAATTGGACACATGGGCGTTACCAGCTGAGTGTGTGTAACCCGGCCACAGACCAAAGCCATTCCATCCAGCGGTCGACCCCACACACGTATTCATCAATTTTAACTTGCTGTTCAATAATGATAGTAGTGTACTCAAATATAAATTAATATTATTATATATTAACATATTGTGCATATTTAGGCAAGGGTTAGTTTAGGTGTTTAGGTTCTGTTGGCGATTATTTGTAGTACGTGGGTGAAGCATTTACAGCGTTGTGGTTCAAACAAAAACTGTCAGTGAAGCACTTGTTCCGGAAGTGTTCGGACGTCAGCAGTTGTGAGTCGTGGGTTAAACCGTTTTTCATTCATAAACAGGGGGTTTGGCGGATGCATGGAATGGGCTTTGGCCTTTGTTTATGAGGACGGGCTTCTCTTGAGGTTATCTTAAGATGATTTCGGGGTTTAGCGTCCTCGCGGCCCGGTCCTCGACCAGGCCTCCTTTGTTACACCCCCTTCGTCCCCAAGAAGCAGCCCGTAGCAGCTGTCTAACTCCCAGGTATCTATTTACTGCTAGGTAACAGGGGCATCAGAATAAAAGAAACATTTTGCCCATTTGTCTCCGCCTCCCAACCCGTCCTCGATTCAAGTCCATTACATCCAGCGGTCGACCCCACAGACGCATTCATAAATTTTAACATGCTGTTCATTCAGAACAAGAATTTTCTCAAATATAAATTAATATTATAATACAGTATATTAGCATATTGTGCATACATAGGCATAGGTTAGGTTAGGTGTTTAGGTTCGGTTGGCGATTATTTGCATTTGTAGTACGTGGGTGAAGCATTTATAGCGTTGTGGTTCGAACAAAACTCGTCAGTGAAGCACTTGTTCCGGAAGTGTTCGAACGAAATCAGTTGTGAGTCGTGTGTAAACCGTTTTTCATTCATAACAGGGGTTTGGCGGATGCATGGAACCACTTTTGGATCTTTGTTTGGAGGACGGGCTGCCGCCTCCACCGGGGATCGAACGCGGAACCTCAGGACTACGAATCCGAAGCGCTGTCCACTCAGCTGTCAGGCGGGGCTGGTGTGTACCATGTGTAGGTCGCTACCTTCTCTCTCCAACAACCACAACCACCCTGTCCCAAAGACAACCACCTTCCCTCCACCACCACCACCTCCACCACCACCACCACCTCTCCTACCAAACCGCCACCAATTTCCCAACTCCCGTATTACGACTGAAATATATTTACATCAAAGTTATTTATCGTTAAGTGGGAGGACGTGTAACATGCCCTAATTGGCCTGACTCAAACTGTCGTCACCCGTCAGAAAGACTAGAATAATTTGCCTATCAAGGTCCATCAGCCAATAGAAAAGGAGCAAGTTATTAACAACAGGGTTGTACATTAGTGCTAGTCCGGCATTTGTGTCAACAAGCAAGTGTGATTAATTCTGCAGTCATCTTAATTTGGTGCTGGGCTTAAGGGGTATCAAACTGTGGAGGGTTGTTAAGTCAACCACAAGTGTTTACTGACCAACCAGCAAGAATACTCTGAATCTGGACATTGTCCAGAGCCAAGTGAACTCTAAATGTATATACACAGAGAAGCGATCATCTTTATATTTAGACAATGAAGAGAACTGTTGCACAACTGGGACCCATCTGTAGGTGACCCAGAGTGCCGTAAACCTTTAATCAACTGTAGCCAGAAGAAATAAGCGGTAACCACATCTGTGCGATGGGTTGAGAAAGTCTTGGACAAGAGGAGAGCGTGTTTATCTCATCACAGTAGCAAGTTGATGAAGACCCAACACAAGGGCCACGACATCAGCTGATGTAGAATGCTGAATCAACCCGTAAGTGTCAAGCAGTAAGTAAGCAAGAGACATGTTCAGTTGATCACGCCGTGGATAGACTCAGGAGCTGTCAGATAGGGTGAAAATAGGTGTCAGGAACATCTTCATGAATACTGGTCATTTGCCACAAATGGTTACCGATTACTTGACACCCTGACACTTTGGTGAACTAATTTTGAATACTTTGGTTGTCCAAGCAACTGGAAACATATTGTTTTTGAATGTCAACTAATTATTCCCTATGCATAGTGGTATATAGTTTCATTCTTGTAGCTTGGACGTTTGGTGAGTGAAGAAGCGAGTGGTTCAGTGATGCAGTGTGTAGCTGTGTTATGTCAGGGGCAGTGGCTAACCAGCCTAGCCTAAGGGAGGAGACACTGCAGGCGATGAGCCACAATAACGTGGCTGAAGTAGGTTGACCAGACCACACACTAGAAAGTGAAGGGACGACGACGTTTCGGTCCGTCCTGGACCATTCTCAATCGACTTGAGAATGGTCCAGAACGGACCGAAACGTTGTCGTCCCTTCACTTTCTAGTGTGTGATCTGATCAACAGGAGACACTGTTCAGGAGGCCCAGGTTTGGGGCGTCCAGAACCTCCCAGCGAGCTCAGTAGAGTTCTGGGTTAGTCAACTTGCGTACCATCGTGGCAGAGTCGTTTAAGACAGGCGTCTGGGAATTACTAGATCGCGAGTTCAAGTCACTCCATTGCCTCAAGGTTATTTTCATATCTACATAAGCATAAACCATGATTTGCAAACCATTTTACATTGATCTCTGGGTTCTTGTATGCACAATACCGTAAGTAAAAACTGAAAACAAGATATATCATTCTCACATGCAAATTAACAATGTCTGCATACTGTTTGTGGCCATTATTTACTCGTAGCATCTTGGCCATGCAAATGTTAATGTGCCTATGGCGTTTCACAGAACCATTTTTAATTACTACTTGACTTGATATTATGTAAATTAACACATGCAAATTACGCTAAGCTACTTCGATTTCGTTTCGGCAAATCAATCTGTAGCTCCGAAACCAGACGAAAATATAAATTCAGGTTACTTCAGGTCGTTGGTGGGGAGTTTCAGTGAACATGTGACCAACAATAAAGCTATGTTGATGACCTGGAACCCGCTCTCTCATGGCGAAAGTGATCAGTTTTAAGAAGTTAAATAAGCAGCACATATCATTTCAAACATGTACAACTAGAGAAAATACGCATCCTGGAAAAGACCAGCCTTATTTGATGTAATATTACCCATCAACTACAGTAGGAAAGCAGTGTTGGTGAGGGCAAGAGTGGTGGAAGTTCTGATGCCCCCAAGGCTTCCTGGACACCTTGAGTACAACCTCTCCTCCAACAATGAACGTCGCTATTCGCTCGTATGCGTTACCTAAGGCCAAACATTGTCGTACACAAAAATGGAAGCGGCTTGTGAAAGAGACGTACTGTCTCGTTTTCTGTTTTGGGTCCTCTGGTGGGTTAGGATAGACCACTTTAAATTGACCGTTTTCTTGACGTTGGGAAACCTTAGGAGGACGGACTTTTAAGAGAGACGTGAGATGGTGTGAGTGGAGACGGGTCCAGCAGCCTAGCCCCTGACGATACTATCTCTGCGGGCAGGTTTAACGAGTCTCTTACGGTGTCAGCTGTGTTGAGTGTAAGTCAGTAGTAACTCAGGGTCTTGCGAGGTGAGAGACACATTTGAGAGGCAACTTTATTAGAGATTCACTGTGGGATTCTGGACTCTGGACGTCGGTCGTGTGAGGAAGACAAAGATTATGGAGACTCCTCCCGCTGACTATGCTGAGGTAAGTTAGGTATAACACTAACACCAAACTGGAAAATCAATAGAGGGTGAATTTTGTGGTGTAACTAATGTAATACGACATAAACCCGTATCCTCATCATCTTACCCCCTTGCTTACCATCCACCATTTTACCCATCTACTAACCACTTACCACCTACAACTTCCATTCTCACAATCCCACCCACCAACTTACCCAGCTACCCACATGCCCTTTCCACTTGCCCAAACTTGCCAGGACCACACCTCCGCGCTCCCCACTAGACGTGTGAGGAGAGAGAGTGTGCTCCAGCGCCCCCACCGGTACACTACATCCCAGTAGAGGCGTCCCAGCAAGCGCTCCCTTGACTCTGATTATGACAGTCGGGACCCGGCGATGGCTCCTGGGCGTCACAGCTTACCGCCAGATTAATAGTGCTTTATCCTAGTGGAGGTGGCGCCATCTCTACGCCGGGGATTGTGTTCGTAAAGGGGGTAGGGTGTTTGTGAGGCCAGGGGCATGTGATGTGGAGGGATGTGCTGTGTTTGTGAGGCCAGGGGCATGTGATGTGGAGGGGTGTGCTGTGTTTGTGAGGCCAGGGGCATGTGATGTGGAGGGATGTGCTGTGTTTGTGAGGCCAGGGGCATGTGATGTGGAGGGATGTGCTGTGTTTGTGAGGCCAGGGGCATGTGATGTGGAGGGATGTGCTGTGTTTGTGAGGCCAGGGGCATGTGATGTGGAGGGATGTGCTGTGTTTGTGAGGCCAGGGGCATGTGATGTGGAGGGATGTGCTGTGTTTGTGAGGCCAGGGGCATGTGATGTGGAGGGATGTGCTGTTTGTGAGGCCAGGGTCATGTGATGTGGAGGGATGTGCTGTGTTTGTGAGGCCAGGGGCATGTGATGTGGAGGGGTGTGCTGTGTTTGTGAGACCAGGGCCATGTGATGTGGAGGGGTGTGCTGTGTTTGTGAGGCCAGGGGCATGTGATGTGGAGGGGTGTGCTGTGTTTGTGAGACCAGGGCCATGTGATGTGGAGGGATGTGCTGTGTTTGTGAGGCCAGGGCATGGGATGTGCTGTGTTTGTGAGGTGTGGAGTGTGTGTGAGAGTGACACTGTAATTCACTCGCCATTGTTCACTAGCTTTTCGATATATATATATAATATATATATATATAAATATATATATATATAATATATATATAATATATATATGTATATATATATATATATATACATATATATTATATTTATATATAATATATATATATATATAAATATATATATATATATATATAATATATATATAAATATATATATGTATATATATATATATATTGTGACGGTAACGCGTTGGTGTTCGGCTGTTCAAAGCTAGGGGTATGGCCTCGTCACATAGTATAAAAAAAAATAGAAAATCTGGAACTTCGTCTGTGGTAAGGTAAGGAGAAGACACAAAACACAAGTAAATTTTAACAATGAAATTTTAATTACGTTAAATAAACAAAGCATGAATAAAATGGACAAACAAATTCGTATAATAAAATCAATCAAAATAATAAGAATAATTAAATGACAATGAAAAGTTACGTTAAGACAAGTGAGCAAAATAACAAGAAGTGCAATATACAAGTAAATGAGAGGTGCGGGAATATTGGCTTTAAGCTATCACCTCTCTTAGTACACGTACGCCAAAGCTTACGTCTAGCAGGGAGAAGTGTTAACTGTGTGAAAGCACTGAATATTCTGAGGACTGAGGTCGTGGCGGCCCCAGACATCAAGTAGTATGGTGGGCGAGTGCAGTTGCAGCCAGACCGGCGACCAATCAGCGAGGAGCCGGCAGCAAGACGGGTAGTTTGGCGGTTTGAGTCTGAGCAGGTGTTCCTGGCTGCATACGTTTTGCTCTCTGGCAAACCTTGCTGGTGTTGTTGTCGTTGTTGGACATTTCTTCCATAGTAGTTTTATATAGATGTAACGACGTATTTGTGGAGGGAAGAGCAGGCTCAATCTCTTGAAGGAGATTATTGTCACAACTCTCCCCGAAGCCTGCGGTTCTGGAAGAAGTACGTCGTTATGTGGTGGAGTAATGGATGGAGTCGCTTCTACTTCATTAACTCTGGAGAGATCATGGGCTAAGATGTTGTCGGAATCTTGGTATAGCGTGTCTCCAGGTTGAATTTCTGCAGTTAGCAAGCCCATAGTAGAAGACGTTGAGATGAGAAGTGGGCGTGCTGCAGGAGGTGTAGGGTGGTGTGGTCCGTGTTGATGGTGGACCGAGCACTTTTCAGGTGTGGAGTGAAGTGCTGGAGCTTCAGGATGAGGAAGAGTAGCTCCTTGCCAATTGTTCCGTAGTTCCTTGTAGCAGTAGTCGCTGACAAGTGTATTCTCCTCGCCTCGTTGCTGCATCACGACACCACCAACGTCGGTACCACTGGCGTCGACATGGAGGATGAAGGGCTTATCTGACGAGGTGAGAGTGGAATTAGAATATGGCAAAGGAGCACGATTATTATCCTGAAAGTATTTGGGAAGATCATTAAGGATTTCGGAATTAGAAAGCGCTGACTCCTTGTCAGTGCTTTCGGGAGGAGAAGCTGGGAAGGTCTCACTGTGGATGTAGGGTTCTGTGAAGGTGGAATAGTTAATTAGGACAGTGGGAGGAGTACCATTATATTGCTTCAAGAGGTTGACGTGGCACAGCTGGGTCTTCCGCCGCCTATCTGGAGTCTCTATTACGTAGTTGTTGTTATTCCTGCACTCTTTGATGCGGTAGGGTCCTGAAAACCTGTTTTGGAAAGGTGAACCTGGGATAGGGAAGTATGCAAGGACGAAGTCTCCCGGCTTGAATTTTCTTACTTTGCTGGTCTGGTCGTAATGAGTCTTCATTCTCTCCTGGGCTTTCAATAGATTATCATGGGCAAAACGGTGGACTCTCTCTAGAATGTGTTGAAGGTTTTGAAGAAACTGGGGCACATTCTGATGCTCACTGAAGGTGGCATCTCGGAGAGAGTCTTTGAAAGCCTTAAGGGGAGTACGGCACTTACGGCCGTAGAGCATCTCATAAGGAGATACTCCTAGGGACTCATTGGGGAGACTTCTGTAAATACACATTATAAGGTCAATCTGCTTATCCCAATCCTTAGAGGTTTCACTACAAAACTTTTTCAAGAGTGCTTTGATAGTCTGATGACTACGTTCAAGAGAACCCTGTGAAGCAGGATGATAGGGGCTGGACAATACCTGTTTGATGTTGAACTCCTCCAGTGTCCTTTTGAAGAGATCACTGGTGAAGTTGGTACCACAGTCGCTCTGAATCTCCCTGGGAAATCCGTATTGAGTGAAGATCTTCAATAGATGTTTTACAACCGTAGCAGCCGTGATGTTCTTCACTGGAACTGCTATGGGAAATCTGGTGGTAGGACACAGGATGGTTAGGATGTAGGCGTTACCTGAACTGGTCCGAGGTAAAGGACCAACACAGTCTATTATGAGTCTGTGGAAAGGTTCCGCAGGCACCTGTATGGGAATCAGTGGCGCTCTGGGAATGGAGATGTTCGGTTTGCCTGCCATCTGACATGTATGACACTGTTTTACGTACTGTTTGACGTTATTTACCATACCTGGCCAGTAGTAGTCTTGACGAATTCCATGGTAAGTCTTGTTGAAGCCGTAGTGGGAGAGTGCTCCGTGGGCCAGGTGTAGAATAGTGGGCCGCAGGCTGGTAGGAATCACAAGTTGTTCGATGTTGGCCCAATCGTCCTCCTCCTTCAGTTTACTGGGTCTATATCTGCGGTAGAGCAAGTCGTTCTCTAGGAAGAACCCAGGAATACTGTCGGGTTGAGTCTCAGCCTGGAAAAACAATGGTGTTAAAGTAAGATCTTCCCTCTGCAACTTACGGAACTCCAACTTGGTCAGATGCGGGGGGAGTTTCTGAGGGTCTTGAGGGACAGCGGTAGCAGTAGAGTCAGCTGGCTGTGGACGTGCGGCTTGTGCACGGGTGGTCACGAGAACCGGAGGAGAAACTTCATCACTCTCTTGAACCTCTGCTGGAACATACTCTAGAATAGGGTTACTTGGCACAGAGTTACACACCTGGGGTTTGTCCATGACGATCAGGTTGGTCGGTTGCAGGTCTTCTGCCAAGTCGTTGCCTAGGAGAAGTTGCACTCCAGGCATGGGAAAAGGCTTTTCCCTGACGGCGACTTGGACTTCTCCGTTCACGTAGGGACAATCCAGGTGGACTCTGGCGAGAGGGTATGGAGTGGTAGCAGTGAGGTCAGTGATGAAGACAGTTTCTCTGGTATAGACGATGTTGGGCACAGCCGACTTCAAGATGATCGATTGAAAAGCCGCTGTGTCCCTCAAGATCTTCAATTTGAAACGTCCCTCCGGATTTGAACCGTTGGCAGAGACAGTTCCAGTATACAGGTGGTTACTGAAAAGAGAAAGATCATTAACATCAACACCAACATTCATCACAGGCTTACCGGACTTAGGAGGAGTTGGTTTGGGTTTTTGTTGGTCAGTGGTTCCCTTGTATTGAGACTTACCACACTTGTCTATGGTATGTCCATAGAGTCTACAATACTTGCAGTACAGTTGCGAACCAGCTTGATCGGGGCTCACTTTCTCGTAACTGTACCACGACTTCTTACTGGAGGATGGTTCGGGTGTCAGCCGGTGGATGAGGCTGTAAGTGTTAGCCGACTTAGCACACTTCAGGTAGTCGGTTTCTTCTTTATCTGCTAAGTAGAGGCGGACAGGAGGCGGCACACGTCTCAAGAATTCTTCAACAAGCATCAGGTTGACGAGTTCTGCAAAAGTAGAGACATGTGCTGCTTCCAGCCATTTCATGAAATATCTCCGTTTTGTGTTAGCAAACTCAAGGAAGGTAGTGGTACTTGCCTTCAGGTGGTCACGGAATTTCCTTCTATAACTTTCAGTAGTGAGGAGGTAGGCGTCCAACACTGCTTGTTTCAGAGTCGGGTAGTCATTCTCAGACGCCAGAGTACTGAGTGTGACTGCAGCTCTACCTGTAAGATGGACTCTGAGAAGTGTGGCCCATTGGTCGACAGGCCAACTGAGTTGATTAGCAAGGGTTTCAAAGGTAGTGAAAAACACATCAACTTCTGCTTCTACAAAGGATGGCATTAACTTACTTGCATGTGATATATTAAAACTGACGGGAAGATTGGCCGTAGCTTGCTGGCGTTGAGTGAAGTGTGAAGTTTCCAAGGCGATTTCGCGTTGACGACACTCTAGAGCCAGAGTCGCTTGTTGCTTGTCATGTTCGCATTGCATCTCCAACTCGCGTTGTTTGGTTTCAAGCTGTACTCGTTCCCGCTCCTGGAGTAATGCGACCTCACGTTCGTGTTCTTCTCTCCTCAAGGCAGCTTCGCGTTCTTTTTCTTCTCTCCTCAAAGTAGTTTCACGTTCTCTGAGGGTGATTTCTCGTTCTTGTTCTTCCCTTCGTATGGCAGCTGCTTCTCTTTGCTGCTCACGTTCAATCTTGGCCAGCTCTAGTTTAAGTTTCATCGTTGCCAAGTCAGTTTTATCTGCAATATAGTAAGTTTCATGAGTTTCAGAGTCTATCTTACCTTGCTCTAATAGTAATCCAGCAACAGGTTGTGTAGGTCATTTTTGTTGGCTTGGTAGGGAACTTCTAGTTGATACTCATGTGCAAGAGTTTGTAATTCAGTCCTCTTGGCACGACTTAAAGTCCCTATTTCACCTGCTGGATTTGCACGGAAAGCTTGGAGACGAAACATGGTGAAATTAGCAAATAAAGGTACAGGAATATTCAATAGTGAATGTCAGAAACAGGACAACGTGGCAACTGGTACCTATCCTGTGAGATCTTTAACAATTAAAGTTAAGTAAAAGATGTTAAATGATTTAAATTAAATCAAGGGCGCAGGAAATCTTGTACCCGGTACTCATGTAAGAGGATAAGGGCAAGAAAATCCTACTAACAAATGAAACAGAGTTTCGAAAACAAATGAAACAGTAAATTGCCTCAAAAGTAAAATTGGTAGTCCAAGGATGTAGGCATACCTTGCCAAGTCTCTATAGGACATAAAGCAAGTTTTTCCTACTGAATTTAATATGATACTTACAGAATTAGCGAACTTTT